GGTTACCAGTTGAGCTCCTCTTTTTTTTGATGGCGTTGTACTTGTTCCTGATAGATTTCTTGCTTCTATCAAAGGGGAACAAAACAGTATGCTTGGTGACAACAGTATCCCACTGTTCAGAGTCTATGGGGAGCACCTCCACTATCAACTCCATGAGACTCTCTAGCTCTTCTTCAGAGTAGTTAACTGTACCGGCTCTGCGGCCGTTGTTGTTGTTGTTGGCGTTTTGATCCATGTTGAGGAAAAGAACACGGGGGATTGGACAATGAGACCTCTCTTTGCAGTCGCCGGCCTCCTCCTCTTGCTCTCTTTGATGCAACAAAGAGAGGTAATAGAATATAGTGACTAGAAAGACTGTTTGTTGGGACATATTGTTTAAATGGCTCGACTGATGAAGGCGCCATGGTGAATAGAGGCGCGTTGTTGCTTGTTGTTTCTTATGTTGTTCACAACACCAACGGAGTCTTAATTTTGGCGGGCCTTTCTGTTGAGTCTTTTAAGAGTCCCTCAACGGACTCGAAATTTTTATTCGTGGATTCCCCTCTAAATGTAGAGTATTTAGGACGGGTCGGTTTGACCAGTCCTAAACTTGCTAAATCTGGAGTCATTTTCACTAAATTTTTGGTCTGTCAGTCTATCAAATCTAGAGTATTTAGCATTTCGGGAATCACCCAATGTAGTGTACGTAATTTTTTATCACTTCGTGATACTCCACAATCCATTTAAATTCGTGCTTGCGTCGGACATTTCAACGTTTTAATAACGTTAATTCACGCAGGTAGTTTACCACGAAAAATCTTTAGGCGCGAGTAGCCGATTTTTCTGTTCATCGGCATGTAATATCAGTCACATAGTTAAACTTGATCGCGCGAGTGACAAAATGAACAGCAAACCTTGACTGTTCGTAGATCGAAAATAGTCCACCAATTTTTCCCTCGGACCGGAATGCGGCAAAACACGTGGCTTTCAGACTTTTTCGACAAACATGCACATAAACAAGGCAACAAAAGCGCGCTCATGATATTTCGAGATCCGATGTCAACTTGCGACAGTCTTACTCATTTTTGACGTTACCGCGGGGCCTTTTTTACTTCTTTGTTGGACAAAAATCAGGCTGTCGGTGCTGTCACATACAATTAATCACTGCCATTGATCACATATACTATTCGTAATACCCAATTACCATGGTGAACTACGGCATCGAACCAACCTTCAGCAACGACGAAAGCGTCGAATATCCCCCTCCGCCACCAGACGACTACTCGGCGCCTTACGCCGACGAAGCTGCCTATGTAGACGACGCCGGATATTCGGTCGAACCTGGGTATTTGGACGATGCTGGGCATTCGGTCGAACCGGGGTATTCGGCTGAACCTGGGTATGTGGACGAACCGAACGACCTTAGTTTCCACGAGGATGAATTTGAACACACATTGAGCGAGCACAAGCTGAAGGCCGAGCCGTACAAAGACGAGGTAGACGAAGAGGAACTCAACTCCGTCTCGGATATTGAGTCTGTGGAAAGTGCGAAGCGCGAACATGTCTCGAAGAAGGCACTCCTCGGTTCGCTTACACTGCTTCTTTTGGTGATCGTCGCGGCGCTCGGTGCAGCACTCGCTGCGAAGAACAGACAAGTAAACGAACAGAGTGCAGCTGCTGCTATTGCCGAAGCTAACGCCGCACTTATCGCTCCGACGTTGGCTCCCGCCAAAGCCTCGACGCGAAGACCAACAAAATCCCCGGTTCGTGCTCCCACCATGGCCCCTGCCAAGAACTCCGAATCGGAATGCAAAAGCGTTTGTAAGTATGAGTCGGATTGAATGGCGCTGCATGTCGGTACATAACAGCGCTTCGATATAGATTGTAGTACTCACCACGGCTATTTCTCCTTTGGTCTTTGGTGTTTTTAGTGGACGTCATGTGCGAAACATCCGGGTTGGAGACGGTCTGTGACCTGTTCAAGTCATCGTGCGGCATTTCCGATTTCGACGATATTTGCGGTGCGATTACGTCCACGGACGGGGGTGCCTTTACCGTGTTTGCACCGAGAAACGAGGCCTTTGACAGAATTTCCGAACGCACCCAAAATATCCTCGAAGATCGTTCGGTACTCAACGAAGTTTTGTTGTCCCACGTAGTGGGGAGAAAGATTGTCGAGGAAGAACTCTACTGCGGCAACACTGTCCACATGGAAAGCACTTACCCTACCAGGACCATTTGCAGTTACAACGATGTTTACCAAGTGGGACAGGGCAATTCTCGTTCCGCCTTTCCAAAGATCACGGAATACGACCTATCGACGTGCAACGGTGTCCTCCACGTGGTCGACAACTTGATTATGCCCATTGCCTACCACCACCGCCCCGACATGTATCCCGTCTCCACTCCTTCGAGAAAGGTTCCCACCGCCGCGCCCAACCACAAGATGCCGTCGCGGTTCGAACCCACCAGCCAGCACCACGGCACGAGCGGCAAGGACCGCCTTCCCATGAAGCCCATCCGTGACAAGGTCCTGATCGACAAAACGACTCCGAGCTTCCCCGATGGATTTTGCGAGGACAAGATCGAGGTCTCCAAGAGCTGCTACACCTTCGGCGAGTCGATCGAGATCACCTACCAGACGTGCAGCCCCGGCAAAGAGGACTGGTTCGGTGTGTTCCGGTCGCACTCCCACAACACCGAAACCAAGCAGATGCGCACGCGGCCCATGTACTGGGAATGGGCCTGCGGTGGCAACGGGGAAACCTCCTCCTGCGGGGACCAGCACCCACGGTGGGGCAAGCTGACCATCGACCAGCCCCTCGGTGGCGGAAGGTACTCGGTGTACACCTTTTCGGACGTCGCCCGTCCCTACACGTCCGTGTCGTACACCGAAAGTTTCCACGTAGCGAGGTATTGCCCAACGAACCACGGCAGCAGCAGCAACAAGAAATACTACCGCGAGGGCAAATCTCTGTGAGGTGCGTGACGGAAACCATGGTTTTCCGTGTGGTGGCGCTGGTACCCCACATACTGTACACTATTTGATTCAACCACCATTCATGTTTCGTGGAGCTATGTGACGCTTAGACTGTATGATTCGGAGAAACTTTTGATACAATACTATATGCATCTATTTCGCATATTGAGACATTAAAAAAATAGAAACCGATCTTTTGTGACACGAGTATTTTCAGGCACACGCATGGTTGTGTCGACGATGTCGCTGTGCATCTTTTTTTTAGTTGAATTGTTTTGTTCCAAACTTGCACAGACGAAAGCACCGTACGGTCGGTATGCGCGAGACCCCCGTCATCCGTCGTCGCTTCCGTCTTCCTCGTCGTCTTCGCCGAAGGCGTCAAGGTCCATCCCCGCCCAGCTGGACGGCTCGAAGAGGGCGGCGGCCGATGCCCTCCCCCCGTAGGCCTCCGGGGTTTCCCCCCGGTCTTCGTGGGTCAGGGGTTCTTCCGTCGCGGGCAGAGACGAGCTGGTGCACGACGGCCCCACGACGAGGGTGCGGGCCTCGCGTTCTTCTTCTTCCGCTCGTTCGCCGGCTTCCTCCGAGAGGAGGAGCTCGAGCACCGAGGGATCGGGCGTGTTCCAGACCGATGCTTCCGCCCGCTTTGGACTCTTCGTCTCGGCTGCGTCAGCCGGACCCCGTTGGCCGTTCCGGCGCTGGTGCGGGCGGCGGTCCGATGCGCCGCCGCGAGCGGGAGCCCGGCGGTTCGATTCGTCGTCTTTGTTGTTGTTGTTGTTGTTGTTGTCGTGCTTCCTCCTCCTCTTCTTCTTCTTCTTTCGTCGCTCGGACCCGCTGGTTCGCTGCGAGGGGAACCGCTCGCTTTCGTCCCGCTGGGTGGCAAACCCGGGGCTCTGCGGTCTTGGCCGGCCGTTCGAGGCGCCTTCCCCCGCGGGGAACCCTTCCCCTTGGGACCCCCCGGGTTGCGTCCCGGTGGCGTCGATCCCCGTCATGGTCAGCGCGGACATGGCCGTCATTCCCTCCCGGTGTTCGGACCCGCCGAACACGACGACCGGGTCCCGGCCCGTGTCGTCGTTGTGGTTGTCGTCCTTGCTCTTGTTGTGGTTGTCGTCGTTGTCCACGCAGGAATTCGAACGGCGGTCCGGTCGGGACGGGGGTGGTTCTCTCGGTTCCGATCGACAAAACGAGCGGCCTCGGGGATGCTGGTGGCCGTCGTGTTCGGTTTCTTGTTCCTCGCCGTCGCCGTCGTTTTCGTTTTCCTTTTCTTTTTCCTTTTCGTCTTCGTCGTCTTCCTTCACCAGGGCCCTCCGCCGCTCCATCCAGTCCAGGTACCCCCGCTGGGCCCGCGGGGAATCGTCCTCCTCGGTCGGCCGGTGGCGATCCGTTTCGGGGGTCCACACCCGTGCAATGTGCCTCCCCGCAACGACGAGCATGCGCTCGACGCCCCCGTGGCTGGTGTTGCCGCTGGTGTTGCCGCTGGTGTTGCTCGGTGGGTGGACCGCGGTGAGGGAAAAATCCCGGAGCATCCACACCACCCCGTTCCGGACGACCCCCCCGACGCCGTGTGCGTCCCTTGGAGCCGTCCTTTCCCGCTGTGGCTCCGACTGCTTCTGCGCCTCCCGGAGTTCCCTCTTGCAAAACCCCGGCTCCATCCAGGCCCGGACGGTCGCCCCGGTCTCGTCCCGGAGCACGACGGTCCAGATGCCGTGGTGGGCGTTGGTCTCGTCGATCGAGTCGACCCAGGCGCACAGGAACAACGGGGGGCGGGTCGCGGTGGCGGCGTTTTCACCCGCATAGCCGCCCGCATCGCCGCCCGCATCGCTTTCGTTTCTGGCCAGCAGCCCGAGGTCGTGCCTCCCCTCCAGGACCTCGGCCAGGAGGACGCATCCCGGCGGGAGGTGGGGCCTCAGGAGCTCGCAGCGCTTCCGGACGTTTCCCGCCGTCGATCGGGGCAGGTAGGGCGTGGTGATCCCGAGGGATCGCTGCATGGCCGTCCAGGCGTGGGGCGTCGAACCGTCGGGGGCGTKGTGGTGGTCGTCGTCGTCGTTGTTGTTGTTCTTGTCGTCGTTGTCGTTCTTGCCGTTGTTCTTGTTCTTGTTCGTGTCGTTGCTGCAAGCACCGGGTTCGCCGTGGCCCGCGGGCAACCCGCTGTGTCCCCCGTTCTCTTCCCCGCCGGCCGAGGCGTCCTCGCCCCCGTTCGCTGCTGCAGGCCTCCCGCGCTGGGCCTGCCACAGCACCCCGCAGGGCCCCGGCGGAGCGCTCCGTTTCCGATGCCTCCCCGCTCTCTTCATGCCGCCGTGCGTTCCGGCATCGTGGTTCGATTTTGCGTTTGGAGTCGGATTTGGGTTTGCGTTCGGGTTCGAATCTGCGTTCGCGCTTGCAGTTGAAGGCACAACAGTCGCCGTCGCGTGCGATTCGATTCGATTTGTTTCGATTCGATTTGTTTCGATCGAACTGATTTGTGCGATGCTAGGCGATGCGATCCGGACTACTAAAATTGAGTCCTGAATGACAAGTGTGTTCGTCCAGTGTCCAAACCAGGTGTTGCTGCCGGTAGTATGTTAAAGTACGCAGGATCTACTAGCACTGGATCATGTAATCGTAGTACTACTCGTGCTTGCATTCTTACGCTACCGTACCAGGGTCGTAAAGTACGTACCGTACCCTACCGTACGTTTAGTTTATCAGGGGTCATAATTTAGACCCCTGTAGTTTACTGTATGACCCCTGCATTCTTATTTTTCCTGCCGTACAGAACCCAGACGTACCGTATGATGGTATGGTCCAGTACTGTATTACTGTAGGTAGTACTTCGTACTAGCTAAGTTACTGTACACAAACTCTTTCCGCGACCAAGTTAGCGATTTACAGTACTACTTCGTACCGGACTTTCTGTAGGAAATCAATGTTTATGGTTCGTTCAAAAATTCAAAAACAAAAAAAAAGTGGTGCCGGTTTTCGGTTTTCAAACTACTACGAGTACCAGAATCGCAATTTACGCATCCGTACGTACTGCTCTTACAGTATTGTACGTTGCAGTTACTACTCGTACCGACCTACCGCAGAACGACGTCGGTGCATGACTGGCACAATCCTGTTGGCTCCTCCAGTCGTATGACCAGTCCATAACCGACACACGGTTACGATTAGCTAATAGACCAGAGATTAGATGAGTTAATAAGCTAATTCACTAATAGATAAACAAAAGAATATGAGTACTTGTGTTGCTGTACAGAAGTACTCATTGTCCTCTATTCGTTGTCCTGTATAAGGTAGTATTCGGTATACGGTAAACCTTATCCTTAAGTGTCAAGGGTCGATTCTCAACACACTCCTGCGGATCTGGTGGCAATCTGTCCTTGTTGTCAGTTAGTCCGAACTCGTTGATTGTTTTGATGTATTGTTTGTAGTATTGGATGAARTCATCCTGTATGATGCCAAGGATCATGTTTCTAAAGCGTTCGAATGTCTTCCCTTGCAGTGGTTTCGTGAAGAAATCTGCTATCATCTTGTCTGTTGGACAGTATCTCACTTCAATTTCCTTATTCTTGATACGATCGGTTATGAAGAAGTATCTTATGTGTATATGTTTTGATCCTTTACGGCACGATAGTCTACCATTGTTTTCCAATAATATGGTGCTTTTGTTGTCCTGGTACAGTACATGGACCTGTGAGGGATCCCCTGTCTGTTCCACTGCGAACTGTCGTAGCCATAGGTGTTTTGGTAGCTTTTCTCCTACTGAAATTAGCTCGGTTTCTGTTGAGCTTAGTGTGTTTATTTTGCTTTTAGTGGAGGATGCATACAGGGCTCCACTTCCCATAGTTGCATACATTCCACCGTGTCCCTTCATATCTGCGTGTACTGCATGGGCTCCGTCAATGTATAAGGAAGTTCCTTTCCCATCTGCTCTCAATATTAAGGGAAGATATGCAGTTTGTTGCAGGTACATCATTTGGTGTTTAAGTTTCTTGTAATCATGTTCATCTGGCTCCTTAACTCTTGTGCATAGGAATGCAGTCCCCAGTTGAAGATCCGGTCTTCCTCGTCGGCTCATCCACAAGGTTTGAGCTGTGATGGAGTGGAATGTGTCCGCATCCTCCTGGCTTAGTTTTGTTGCATCCTCTTGGTCTGTTTTGAATAGATGTGGTGGTGCAGCTGTACTCTTGTGTCCTATCATATCTGAGGGCAATTCATTAATCATCCGTTGTATGTAATCATACATAGTGATCTGTACCTCACCGGGTCTTTCAAAGTTGATCGTCATTCCCAGATACTGGTGTATCTTTCCCCTTGTGATTGTCATTGGGTCTTGCTGTGCATATATTGATTCTAATAGCTTGATTACGGTCGTTACTTCCTTTGGCTCTTTGTGGCTGATCTTCAAATCATCCACATGGAATACGACTGTCATTTGCTCACTGTTGATTGTCTTGTTCCAACAGCATGGCTCATACGGGTTCATGATAAAGCCCCAGTCCATGAGGTGTCCAATCAGTTTCTTGTAGGATAGTAATGCAGCTGTGACTGTTCCATATATTGCTTTGTCGCATCGTACGTAAATAACTGCTCTTTTCTTTTCCATTCTAAGATGTTTCTTCCATCGTGCTCGGTCTATTTTAGCCAGCAGTAATGCCAGTGGTCCATCCAGTCGTAGTATTAGTTCTCCTTCCATGTCTGTTTGCAGGAAGTGGCCTGGCAAGTCGCATGTGGCTACATCTCGTCCTTCGTGAGCATCCATGATTAGTGTGAAGAACAGTGCTTCAATTGCAATTGTTGGGGATGCAGATTCATGTTTGGGAGTCCATAGCTTTTGGTTCCGACCATCTGCACATGCGCGTCCTTTAACTGTGTGGCCATCTCTCTTTAGAGTGAGGAACAGTAGTATTGGCAGGGCCAGTTTCCGGTCCTCGTCAGATAGATCCTCATAGGTTATTTCGCTAAAGACCTCTCGCGTTAGCATTTGTTTGAGTTCTTTGACGGTAGCTTGACGTCCGTCTTCTCCAAATTTCTTCAGTCCGGCTTTTAGGCTGTATTGTGTCATTACCATGTCATTAATTTGCTGGTCTCGTTGTGCTGTTCTTGATATATATTCCAGTGCATTTATGTAGTTGTTGTATTCATTCATAGATGATATTGTTTGGATTGCCTCGTCCTCATCCCCGGTTACCAACGTGCTTTGGAAGTATTGGAATTCGTATTGGTCATCCAAGGGGCGGGAGTATTGTCCTTCATTTCGTATTCGCTGGGATCGACGGGGGATAGTGATTGCATTTTCCGCCACTCCTGTAGCCTCGTCATCGGCTGTCACTCCTGTAGCTTCAATGTGTTCATCATTGTTGGGCTGATCAGGATGCGGTATTGTGTTGTCGTCGTCATCGTCATCATCGTCATTATCGTCGTCACTGTTATCGTTATTGTTGTCATTGTTATCGTTGTCTTCGTTGTCTTCATTGTCGTTGTGTTGGTTGTTATGAGTGTTGTTTTGGTTAGTATCCACTCCTGTAGTCCCCGTATTGAGCGTATCAGTATGGGGATTAGTTACGTTGTCGTGTGGTTGTTGCTGCTGTTGTACTGCAGTAGGATCGTGGTTATCATCGTGGGCATATTGATTGGGTACCACGATTGAGTTGTCATCATGKTCACGATCTGGGTTATTAAGCCTGTCAGTGAAGATGAGACCTATCGGCGATTGGGAGGCCATATCTTCTATGCGTTGAATGGCGTCTGCCGGCATCGGGGCAATCGTATAATCGTTTTTACTCCTATGTAGTTCTTTACCCGTGAGTAGGCTAAAAAATGTTATTCCCCCTTGTATGTTAGTRCTTGGTCCAAGGGCAATTGCTCCGACTGTTCTTGTTTTCATCGTGTTGTCTGTTGGTTCACGCGTCTGTGCGTATGTACCAAACGCAACAGCAAAGTGCAAGTTGTAATCAAGCATGTTGCCATTGACAATGGTGTAAGGGGATAGCGTTGTAGACACTCCATCCGGGTGTGGGAAAGCGTTGAGGTAGAAGATGACATTCTTAACTAGTCCTACGATGACTCTCTTCGGCATCTTGGTGAAGGGAACCATGTGGACATTACATCGGCATCTTTCCTTGATTGTCCTGTTGAGGCGCTCAATCTCCGGGACGTGTTCATCACGTGATACACAGTTCAACCCGATCTGCAGTGTTGCAAGTTCGTGCGCGCATGATTGGAATTGATTGTCAGCAAGGATATGTTTGATTCGGAAATGTCGCTTCTGGTAGAATTGATGAAGGGCAGTTAGTGCATTTATTATATTTTTCGTCTGCATCGTGACGAGGGCACTCGCAGTGTGGTAGTGTATGTGTCGAGATGTTGTAGTGAGGAATGGGATTCCATTGATGTGCATGATGTCCATTGCTATAGTGACATCCTGATAATGTTCCTTGATGTGCGCTGGTACCGGTACTATTTCAGTATGAACCCCTGGTTTTACTGTCCGTGTTGTTTTACCTTTGAGTCCAGGGATACTTGGTCCTAGAATATCTTTCATGAGTCGAATGTCTCTTGTGGTTATGGGACAGTTACGGAGTTGGTTCTGGGACGCTACTCGGAGCATCTGTGCTTCACTCAAGTGTCCGGCAATATGTTGGAAGGCGCGAGCTATTTCCGCACGGTATACATCTTGTTTGGAGTACTTTGCCTTGTTAGATGCAATTGTTGCAACTGTTTCATTCTGAAGTACGGTTGCGGACTCCGGTGCTGTCAATYTCTTCCGTCTYGACTGTGTAAACATCTYGGAGAAATCGGAATAGTACAATCCTTTCTTTGATGGTATGAATTCCCTGTAAGTCCCGTTGGGTCGATACACTTGAAATGCGTCCGTTTTGTTGCTATCGTATGTAATCCGGTATCMCTTGGCTTTGTGCACTCCATGGAATGATAGGATATTTGCAATTCCCTTTCGATGGACCCATACAGTCCCGAGTCCTGGAAGCTCACCGATCTCATTGATAATTGATTTTCCTGTGTTAGTGTAAAGGTGTAATTCCTTATGTGTGGTCCTCACGTTGCGGAGGAACATTGTATTGAAGAATACATGTACAGTCGATTGGTTATCCAACAGCACCCAAAATGGGTTCAGTCTCCCTTCAACTTGGTTCAGTATTGCCTTGTCATTATCGCGGATATCCTCGATTAGGATCTCCTTTGGTTCTTTATTTGGGCTTGTTGTCAGCAGGCACATATCGTAGTCGTCTGCTGTTAAGTGGTCGCTCCATGTATCAATCATTTCATCTGTGATCACACATGTGGTCCCTGTTGCAACTATCTTGTCCACTTGGTCAGCTGCTTCATCCTTCTTGTTGTTTATCATGGCTTTTCGACGGCGATATTCACGTGGTGTTTCCTCACCAGTTTCCTTGTGTGTGTATGTGCAATTCGCTGATATGTGGCCTTTTCTACCACAGTTGTAACATGTAATAGTATTYGCAYTACTATTTGTTTTATTGCCGTTAGTGTTATTCACTTCCTCTGTTTTATCATCTTGGTCGTTGCCTTGGAAGAAGCTGTGGGAGGTCTGATGTGAGTCGTTACTGTTTTGTTTGTTTGTCTTGTCCTGTCCACGGTATAATGCTGGTGTGAATCGGTACTGTTCAAGTACTGTCAGTGCATCAACAAGTGTTTTCGGATACTTGTCATCTCTTTGAGCAAAGCTGTTGTGACATTCTTCTTTGTATTTACCATACTTGGCTTTGTTTGAGTTCATCATGAACATTATGGCGATGAACTGTTCTCTGCTTTGTTCCATGATCATCTCTTGTTGTCGTGGCCCGAGGACGTCGTATTTCTGTTTGTATGTTTCTGTTGCYACTGTGTTGCAGCGTTCCGGAGTTGCAAAGTTCACTCCTGCTTGTTCTGCTACTCTAAGTAGCATCTCAAACTCTTTGAAGTAGTCGGCTACATCTTGGTCGTCGCGTTGTCGGAAGTTRATTAGCTTCCGCAGTGCATAGAAGCTTTGTAGATGRTAGTATTTKGCTCCATCATTTGCACTGCATACGTAGTCGATCAGCTTGAGTAGTCCTATTACGTCAGACTCCTCCATTAGTTTGTTGTATAGTGGTTGTGCTTTGAGCTTGTTCTTTAATGCTGGTTCACATTGATCCCATAGGACGTCGTATAACTTGACGAGGTTCTTTAGGATTCGCGATGTTTCTTCTTTATATTCTCTGTAGTCCATCTTCCACATATCGATTTCCATTTGGTTAAGTTTGGCATACTCGTCTGCGGTATGTTCCTTTGGTTTATTCACATGGAGTATGGTATGTTCCAGTTTGTGGAGGGATGCTTTRACACTTCCTCCATARGTTCRKCCGGCGTAGTTAATAAAGGCTTCTCTGCTGGTCATCCATTTCTTTCCCATATTTCCTCCCAATGTGAATGTGTCGTATTTCAGTTCTTCCGTCTTTGAGGTGTAGGATGAGTACTTCTTCCCGCCTCCGTATTGTGACTGGTGTTGTTGTTTCTTTTTGAACTGTTTGTTGTTGCCTTTGCGGCTTCCTTTGTGCGTCGGTTCCGGAGAGGAGACCGCTTCCGCTTCGACGATCTTTACGTCCTTTTCATCTTCGTTCGACATTGTATCAGTCTTACTTGTTTTATTATTATTCTTTTGTTTATGTTGGCTCCTCCAGTCGTATGACCAGTCCATAACCGACACACGGTTACGATTAGCTAATAGACCAGAGATTAGATGAGTTAATAWGCTAATTCACTAATAGATAAACAAAAGAATATGAGTACTTGTGTTGCTGTACAGAAGTACTCATTGTCCTCTATTCGTTGTCCTGTATAAGGTAGTATTCGGTATACGGTAAACCTTATCCTTAAGTGTCAAGGGTCGATTCTCAACAAATCCCATCGCATCCCATCGATCGGAATTCCTCGGTTTCGTTTGGCACCACGGAGCAACAAACCTCGACCGAAAGGGCAACAGACACCGCAGACCAGACTACAGCACACCGCAAACGGGAGCACGGCACGGCACGGCACGGCAAAGCACCGCGAGGCCTCGGACGTCCATCCCGCGGAAGAGCACCACGAGCGCTTGATCGATCGATCGATCGATTCATACATACATACACACACATATATACATACTTCTGTATCTGGAAACGCACCGCATCCCGTTTCCCCGCCCGGGAGAGAACCACGCATACACTCAAACCTGCACACACTACACCGCAAGGCAACAACCACCATGAGCTTCCCGCGAAAAAACTTTCGCAGGTTCTACCGCGAGACGACGATAAAGCAGAAGGCCTCCCGGAACGAGCGGTTGTCGGGCCGGAAGCGGAGGAACCTCTTCCTAATGGTCCTCGTCCCGGTCCTGGTATCCCTCGGGATCGCGACCAACGCCCTCCTGCTCAACCTGGGGGACCTCGGGCTCGGGGGAACGGACAACTCGTACGCGACCAGCCCCCTCCTGTCGATCCCCGTGTCCAGGCCCTGGTGCGAGACGGTCCGGGAGGCCCGGGACGGACTCTCCCTGCAAAAACTGCACGTCTCCTACCCCTGCGAGGGCCTCAAGCCCGCCGTCTCGGCGATCGTCTGCATGCTCACCGACGGGGCGACCACGGAAAAGGCCAACCGGATCGTCTTCTCGGCGAGGGACTACATCAACGGAGCGATGAGCCTGGGGGCCTCGCTGGAGGGGAGGATCGACCCCTCCAGGACCCACATGCTCCTGCTCCTCAGGCAGGGATTCGAGCTGGAACGAGACGACCTCGTCCGGCTCGAGTCGGTGGGATGGACGATCGGGACCGCCCCGGACTTTCCACTCCCGAAAAAATACCTCCCCCGGTTCCCCAGATACAAAACGACCTACACCAAGGTCTCCGCCATTGGCCTCAGCGAGTACGAGTGCGTCATGCTCATGGACGCCGACACACTGGCCGTGGGGGACCTCACCGACGTCATGGAGTGCGGGACGGTCTTCCGGCACCCAAACAACCGGGTGGCCGGGACCATCGACTGGTACCGCATGGGATGGAAGCTCTTCAACACGGGAAGCATCCTCTGGAAAACAGACGCAAGGGAGATGGAGCGGGTCTTCAACCTCACGGAGGACCCCTCCTTCATGAAGCGCTACGGGAGCGACCAGGACTTTCTCAACAACGTCTACCCCGACCGGCTCCACAACACGACGCTCAACGAGGAGATCGTCGCCCTGGACAACGCCGAGGCCCGGTCCGCCGCCGCCGCGAGCGGGAGCAAGCTCTCCCCGGTCGTCCCGCACGGGCCCGCCTCGGCCGGGGCCGTCGTTCCCCTCTCGTGGGACTACAACGCGCAGACCCACGCCGAGGTCCAGAACCCTGGCTTCTGGACCTCCCACCGGCCCACGGCGAAGATCCTCCACTTTACGGAAAAGAAGGGCTGGCAGTGCGAGCGCACCACGGAGGAACCGGTCCCCCCCGAAAAAATGCCCGAGAAGTGCAAGAAGGAGCTTCCTATTTGCTTCTGCCGGGAGGCCCACCTGTACTGGAGGGCCCTGGAGAGGGCGGAGGCCCTGGCGGCGACGGCTCTGGCCGCCGCGGGCGGGGGGGCCCGGTAGGGCCGGCAGCCCCGGAGAGGCGCAGGGGGCACCACCGATCGGTGCTGGCCCTCGGAACCAGCCAGCCCCTTCCCGGCCAACACGTGGCCCGTTCGCGACACCCACCCGGGCGGTGGAACCGAACCGCCGGTGGCAGCTGGGGCTCCGGCACCCTGCACACGGGACGCGGATGCTCTTTCGCAGTAGGTTCTCGTAGACGAATTAATTAGATTTTGGATTCATGCGCAGGTGTGCCATAGCATACTACCGTACCGTACCGCAGGACCAAGGCGGATCGGAACAACACACGTCCTCGCTGAAAGCCGTCGGGACGACCGGTTCTTTCCGTCCGTCACAACAGCAACCAATCCCGTCGCCAAGCTTATAATGCACGATTCTGCTTGCCTACACAGTTGTTCTCGAACGATTGCTCGGCAAAGACAGGGGTCTACTACGCATTGGCACGGTATCACCTTATAAACGGCACGCATAAATATCTTAGATGTCCCACAAATCCTTTCGCTGGTCCGACGTTCGTCGTGAAGGACTCGTCCCATGCCCGTCAATCATTTATAAAATTGTTGCGTCCGGGGTAGTATAACGGGGGAGGAGTTAATTTAGCAATACTATTGTTGATTTCTATGATTACTAAATTAAAGAGGGATGAATCGTGTTTGGTGGGCAGCAGAGACTCCAGGACGTCCGTGTCTAACAGGCTTGTATGTGATGGCGAATTCTGCCAAGTACATACCGATCATCTCGGGCTTCATTTCAACACCGCAGAACATTTTTCCGTTGTAGATACCGATGATCGATCCAATCATTTCGGGGACGATGATCATGTTACGAAGGTGGGTCTTAATACCACGGGGCTTTTCACCCGGTGGGGCTTCCTTCTTGGCTTGTCTCAATCGCTTGATGAGTGCCATGGGCTTTCTCTTCAAACCACGGGACATTCGGCGACGAGGGCGGGCGCAGACAAGGTCCATCAATTCATCGTTCGTCAGATCAAGCAATTGGTCGAGTTCGATTCCACGGTAGGTGAATTTACGGAACTGACGCTTCTTACGAAGCTCGGCAACTTTTTCGGCGTCCATGTTTGTTGTATTTGAGACAATGAAAAGACTACAAACAGAAAAAGAGAGAAACACAAGGCACGTGTAAGACCATGAATTGGGAGCCGTGCGAAGTCAACGTTGCTGGCCTCGGGTCGACCTCAAAATTCCTGGTCTCCTTCCACTAACTTTCGTAATACCTGCGATACGATGGTTCTAATTGATATCTAATTTCGGAATTCGTTCGGTTGCCATGGTCGGTTAGCTACTTACATCGACTATCGGTATGTTGTAGAGCAGTTGGAGAGAGAAACCTCGTTGTCACTGTTATTAGGTGGATGCTGCGCGGAGGGTTTGTGCTTGCTTGCCTTTGTTTTACCTAGCCCTTTACTAGACTTCTGTACTAAAGAGCCGTAGAATTATTTAGTAAGACGGGTAAGCCAAAAAATTGGGTCACGAATACTTTGGTTCCCATGTTGTCTGTCCATTTTCCTATTTTCCTCGCGCCAGTCAATCACGAAATCTCCGACGGCGCAAAAAGGGAAAAATTACAAATTCCAACTACTATCAACATCGTACGGTAGTACGTATGCTTACGAGCACATCATCGAACAAAATACTTCGACTGGGCAAGATACTTACGAGTAGCATCCTGCAGTTCTCCCAGTACGAGTACAAGTACTTTCAGCACCACGACTGTGACGTTCTTTCTCATTTCCCTTCTGCCGCCTTGGATGATTGCGGTACCGTAGCATACCAATAATTTCGAAGGTCTCTTTTTGTGGCACCGGTGAACTGCGAGTACGATGACGTCGGGAAAAGGAAACAATGGCGGAGGCGGAGGAAACGGTTTCAAGCCCCTCGGTTTGAGCGAACCGGTTTATCGCGGAATAGTTCGAATGGGGTTTCGAACGCCGACGCCCGTTCAGCGAAAGGCTCTTCCCGTGGTGATGTCGGGGGCCGACACAATTTGCATGGCCCGTACCGGGTCGGGTAAAACGGCTGCCTTTTTGATTCCGTTGCTGGAATCCTTGCTGGCAAACCAGGACGACAGCAGCAGAAGTTTTTCGAAGGGCGTCCGCGGTGTGATTTTGAGTCCAACCCGAGAATTGTCCTTGCAAACTCTTCGAGTGTTGAAGAAAATGTCGCACTTCACGAACATAAAATCAATTGGAATCCACGGAGGAGAAAGAATGGAGCAGCAATTCGAGGACCTTGCTTCGAAACCCGATGTGATCATCGCCACGCCGGGTAGATTGGCTCATATTCTTTCAGAAATTCCCGATTTTAACCTCAGGGAGTGCCAAATTTGTGTGCTCGACGAAGCCGATCGGCTGCTGGAAATGGGCTTCGCGCAGCAACTGAGAGAAATCAACCGAACCATTCCGGACAGGTGCCAAAAGGCATTGTTCAGTGCTACCATGCCCAAGATGCTGATAGAGTTTACGAAAGGTGGATTCACAACCGACCCGCAAATGGTGCGACTCGACGCAGAAGTTCAGGTCAGTGAAGAATTGCGCGTCAGTTTCATAACATGCAGGAGTCTGGAGAAAGATGCTGGTCTTCTACAAATAATGGGGGCGATCCAGGACGACAAAGATGCGAACGAGAGCACACGCACGGGTTTGACCCTTATATTTTGTGCTACCCGTCACCACGTCGAATACGTGACAGCTCTCCTCCGAGCCAGCGGTCAGGAAGCCACAATGATCTACGGAACTCTCGATCCCGATGCCAGAAATTCGAATCTTGCTGCGTTTCGTCACGGAAGGAAACCGATAATGGTCGTGACGGACGTTGCCGCAAGAGGAGTCGATATTCCCATGTGTGATCACGTCATCCATTATCATTTTCCGCCATCGCCGAAGCTTTTTGTCCATCGTTCCGGTCGAGTAGCGCGTGCTGGTAGGATAGGATTTTGCTTTGCTCTCGTAGAACCAGATGAATTGCCGTACATGGTCGATCTGCACTTATTCCTTGGTCGCAAGCTGTGCACGATAGATGGGATGACCGATACAAGCGACCACAAGGAAATAGGTGGTGATGAAGCGGACGAAAGCACTCAAAATCAGGAAGGGATCGAATCCTATACGATGAATGAAATGACCCCTGATATGACTCACTATGGGTCCATTCCAGAATCGATTCTGACTTTGGAAGTAGAAAACGTGCGCCGGATCATGGATTCAGAGATGGCTGGTACGGAACAAGCTGAACTCATGAGATCACTGACGAGGGTTTGCAATAACGCCATGAAACAATATCGAAGAACCCGCCCGGAAGCAAGCAGAGAGGCCGTGCGGCGAGCGAAAGCAATTCTCGAAGGTCGCAAACTGAAAACAGGACAGCGGGTTGGCGGGGCATCGATTCCACCCCATCCACTTTTGCGTGGAATGGAAATGGAGCAATATGAGGCAGCAAAATCCAAGGGCAAAATCGGTACCCTGAACGATCTGGACAATATTAACAAGAGGAATGAATTCTTGAAAGCCTTGTCCCAATTTCGACCAAAGGAAACGGTTTTTGAGGCATTTGCAACGGGAGGTGGAAAGGAGACTGGCGTGAATAGTCATGTTGACAAAGGCCGTACTGTTCATTCTTCCAAGAAAATGGACTCGAGCTACGCAATGACATCAATGAAGAATATGAGGCGTCAGATGCGAATGTCGCGAGACAAAGGAACAACTTTGGTTGTTGCCGGTAGTACGCTGGCGACTGAAGCAGCTGGAGATGAAGGAGCGGGTGAAGAAAATGCGTTCGTCATGAAAAGTCAGAAAGCTGTTTCCAAGCCTGCAACAAAGGCGCCAACAATCGTGTCGAAGGCTAGAATGTCCAAGGCTGAACGACGTCGCCTCAAAAAAGATCCAAATGCATCCGTTGCTTCCTTGGCAAAGAAATACCAACACGAAGAAAAAAGGAAAAAGCATATGAGAGGAAGCGACTTCAGAGACAATGCCTTTTTCATCGAAAACGATGCTTCGTCGAATGCTGAAGAAGCTCAGAGACAACGTCAGGTAGAGGCGGCACTACAACCCTCGGCTGGCTCGGTAAAAGGAATAACCGGTAATGCTATGCGTCTAGAAGAGGCAATGCTAGATGTTGTCGGTGACGAGAACGCACAGCTTGTGCAAAAACAACGAATGATGAGATGGGACAAATCTAAAAGAAAGTATGTTCAGTCAAGTGTCGGTGCCGAATTGAGTGGAACGAGCTACAGTAAGAGAGTTAAGCTGGAGAGTGGACAAATTGTCAAGAGCGACAAACTGAAACTGGGAGAAATTTACGAAAAGTGGCAGAAGAAAACAAACCGATCCGTTGGAAGAAGTGGTGTATTTGATAACGATGGTACAAATGACGATGAGGCAATAGCTTCTTCGGGTAAGCAGCGACGAGGAGGCAAAAAGAAGGGTAAGAAAGGAGGCGACGAAGATGGCCCAAGGTCCGCAAAGGCCATCCAACAGAGTCGAGAAAGTGCACAGAACTCGAAGATGAAGAACATGGTGAAGGCAGATAGAAATAGGTTGGAAAAGAAAAACAGGACCGAGTACAATGCCTCTAAGGTTCAGCCAAAGAAGGGTTCTCAGGGGAAGAAAGGAATGAGTGGCAGATGGAAAAAAAGATAAAACAGTTGAGAACTTCATCAATGGCCTCTTTCACGTTCTTTGAGATGCAAGTTCAAGAATATTGATTTTAATGTTAAAAATTAATGTTAATACTCATTCTAACACTACTGCTGTTCCATCGTGCATGGATGTCAGCTATTCACTACAGTTCATGTAGAATAGAAGCTGGTTGGCTTTCCACTGTTGTGACAGATTCCTTAGTAACTTAAATCTTTGTTGTTGTTTCTTTTAGAGTCTCCGGTCGCATAACAGACGGGAAGCACTTTTTGATCTAGACGACAAAAATAGTGTTGGCAGTTGGAAGTGACACGCACAACCATTGATGTACTTTTGACGATGTTGTATGCACGGATAATACGTAATCGTTCCAGTACATATTTCTACGTACCCGTACGTTCCAGTAGAGAATTAACGGTCAAGATCTTTCTCACCTACCAAGATCATGAGAACCGCTCAGAAAAGCTGCAATCGGTTGACGACTCCGTCACGTCGATTGAGATAGAGAGATCCCGACACGGGTCGTCACATAAACTTCTCTGAATCATTCCTTCTTGATACCTCCCGGAAGGCCAAATTGATACACTCCAACGAAAATGAAAATCACTACCATGCTCTCTGCTGCTCTTCTTTCATCTGCTTCGGCATTCGCTCCTAAAGCTGGTACCCGTGCCTTTTCTCGTGCCACTTCAGTTTTGATGGCCAACCCTAAGGTTTTCTTTGACATGGAAGTTGGCGGAGAAGATATTGGACGAATCACCTTCGAATTGCGCGAAGATGTCGCTCCCAAGACTGTTGAAAATTTCCGTGCTTTGTGCACTGGAGAAAAGGGATTTGGTTACGAAGGGTCTACTTTCCACCGAGTTATTCCTGGCTTTATGTGCCAAGGAGGCGATTTCACCAATTTTAATGGAACCGGAGGAAAATGTACGTGCATTGATGGTTTTGAAAAGAGGTAACGCAGTATTTAAATTTGCAGAAATTCTTTTTTTCTGTTTGAGAAGGTATCTAATCATCTTTGTTGCTGTGCCACATTTTAAACCCTCTTTTTTCTGTGTCAAATATTGTCTTCCAGCCATCTATGGTGAAAAGTTCGAGGGTGAGTTTGCAAATCGAGTGCTCTTTTCTCTTCTATCTTTCTTGATTTCGAGGTGTGGATCTTATCTTACGCTTTTCTTTCCTTTGTTTTGTCATAGATGAAAACTTCGATTTGCCTCACGTGGGAAAAGGTATTCTGTATGTGTAACTATTGAAATTGGCTGAGTCCTTGCATCGTATTCTTTTCCTGGTTCAATAAATACGCAAGATTCCAATTTTCTCACTTATTTCACCTGGATTTACCCCACGTCAATGATTAGTTCCATGGCCAACGCAGGTCCTAATACGAACGGATCGCAGTTCTTCATCTGCACTGTCGACACTCCTTGGCTGGGTACGTAAGCTCTCTGTTTTGAAAATAATTTAGAGGAACGAAGCGAGAGAGATCCATACCGAAAACTTTATTCCTTGCTTTCATAACTTATTGATTCTATTCTTTGTTTCTCTCCGTCGTGTACTCCTCTTCCATTTGAAAAAAGACGGAAAACACGTTGGTACGTACAATACAACATAACAAAATATTTGATAAGTGTACAAAAAGCAAGATTGGACACATGTGATAGATAAATTGAGTTCCTTATCATTGTTCTTTTCTCTCTTCTCTCTTTTCCGTAACCCGAAAGTCTTCGGCCAGGTTGTTGGTAAGCTGAATTTCTTCAACTACTTGAATCGCAGTGCATGAAATCATTTGCGAACCTTCTTTCTAACTTCTTTTTTCCTTAAATTTAACCCCATAGATGGACTTGATGTTGTGGACAAAATCGAAGCCGTTGGTTCCCAATCCGGTCAGACCGCCCAAAAAGTGGTTGTCAAGGCAAGTGGAGAGCTCGAGTAATTGAGTTCATCAGCCCACATGTACTAAGCGGCTCCTAATAGTCTTCTGATTGACATTTTGAAGAATTTTCCCATGAAAGAAAAAACTGGTTGAAAATTAGAATGGAGCAATAAAAAATTATAAAACTAATTTTCTTCTTGGCGGGACAAACATGTTTTTGTGTCGATTATTTTATTCTGCTTTCACACGTATCTGCTGAAAGAATCCAAGTGTACGGTATGAGGATTGTTTTAGGATGCTGTAGCTGACTATCATCTTGGTAAAAGATACGACTTACAGAATGCGATCTTTTCGTACATCTAGTATCAAAAACTACCAGTGAACCGTATTCAAATCTTGGAAATAACTTCTGCATAATCTGTTCTATTAAATTACGAAAACAAAAAGAAATATAAAATTATCAAAAATCCTCTGTGTCAAAGATAGGTCCCAAAACGTCTGACAGCGGGTAAAAGACCCGCTCTTCCTTCGACGCCTTTCATACTACAATGACCAGAGGACGGAAAAATCGATATGGAATGAATCAGCGCCATCAGCGACGGGCTTGCTTTGAAAGGTTCAACCATCATTTGTACATTGAGCCGAATCCACAGAAGATGTTCGAGGTAAGTAACGTGTATGATCTACAATCACTTTCGATGACACAGGAGATGGGTTCTCGAAAGCCACACCCGACGAGTTCGAGGATTTCTCTAACGCGTCCGAGATTGATTGCTCAGGTATAGGATCTGATTGAGTAGAGGAGACGGTATTACCCCCATGAAAGTCCAAAGAAACACAACTTTCGAGTTTGGTTGGCGGTGGGATAGGTTTGTATAATCCAATGCTCTGTGATGGAGTGAGCGTAGGTAACATTGGCGTCACAGGAGAGAGGGCGCCTTTTGGCTTGATGTGATCGTTCGTCGTAGTATTCACTCCGGACAAAGAGTACGTAGCCTTTAGACAAACCCAGTCCTTGACGATAAGCTTGGCAAGTTCCTTACCGTCACGGCGACTGTCCCTGAAGTATGAACTGAAGCTCTTTTTCAAAATTTGAATAATATCATTTTCTCTCGGAGTTCGTTCATTGAATGGGCGCAGGAGCAACATCCGGAAAGAAAAAAAGTAAGGACGTAAAGTCCTTTCGTCAGCTGAGGAAGTGAGTGGTCCTTCCGGTACGAATGCAGTGGAGGCTGGCATATTATCATATAAGAAGGATGCTAGGTCGCGGTCTTCTGTGGTCATATCATTATCGTATGACACCGTTCTTGCAGACTTCTGCGTTGGATTAGTTTGCATGTAATTGATTGTTTGCAATCCTTTCTTTTGTGACACTCCATTCGAGCTGTGATCTATGCACACCATGGAAATTTGCGCAGAGTCTTTCTTGTTTGGGACTTCGCATGATGGCTTGGTCTCGTATTTGATCGACTTGACGATCGTTTCATTGACAGGTTGAGTTTTTTCGCGAGCCGAATTTGAAAAAATACTTGATTCATTTTCTGGGATCGGTACCATGCGATTCTGTGACGATTTAGTCGGAGCGTTCGAACCGAGAACCAATTTCCATTTTGGCTCTAATGAATAGTTTGTGAGCTCAGCTGTTATTTCACGACAGAGAGAGGCATCTTCAGGTACATTCTCGCAGCTATAAATTAGTACAACAATTCTTCCCACCATGGGCGTATTCAACGGAATAGCAAGAGCAGTTTTTATCCCATACAGTTCAGCCCCTTCCACTCGACCAAAACTGTTCGAATCTTTTTGGTGAACCTCGCACTCCCACGATGCAACACCAGTAGAGTACACACGGCCCGGTAATCCTTTCCCTGGTTCAAACGAGAAATATGAACTGAATACTCCAAACTCGTTCAGCATATGAGCTAGATCAGCATTGACATCTCGTCGAGAAGTGTGTCCAGCATGATACAGTTGAAGCTGATCAACATCAACCGACTTCGAATGTCCAGCAGTATCACCTGATGAAAAGCTTGGAACCCATAAGTCCACGTGATGGAAAGGGAAATTCTTCTTTTCTATGTACGTGACTATGGCACCCAAAAGCGAACTGCAGAAATTAGAAGCGGGAGCAGAAGATATAGATGTATTGCTCTCTATCGACACATTCTTTTCTTTGACATTGTCGTCTGCTGTCTCTGACGAAAGCACATCCAACAATTGTTCGAAATCTTCACTAAAGGTTCTATTGCGTCCGTTCTTGAGCCCAACCGACGATATACTTATATCAGTACTGAAAGCCCTTTGTCGTGAAGTAAGGACCCTTGCGTCATCGAGGCTACTATTTAGCACTTCGTCATCACCCGGGGATATTGTCCGTGATTTCTGATCATTTGAAACAATGGAGACATGAGAAATTGAAGAATTGGTGCCAAGATCATTTGTTGTTGGTTGGCTTTTTGAGTGGTCTACTTTCATGAAGTCAAACATAGTGTTTTTCGTGGCATAGGTAAGGGTTGGATTTTCGAATTGAGAACTCAGACCCATTTTTCGACGACGCAGTCTCCGGACAACCTCCTCCGCCTTCGTTGCTCTCTTCTCCAGTTCTTGTAGACTCGCATTCCATGCCTTTTCCTGTACATGAGAGTAACCAATTTGTAGGCACACGTTATAAAAATGCGTTCTCCATTGTTTTGTCAGGTTCAGTTTGAGGGTGAGACGAGTGGAGTCTGAAGATATCGATGACAAAAAATTTTCTTGAAGAAATGACAGTTGCTCACGATCTCTTGTGCTAAACTGCGTGGAAGGATTTCCTAACACAAAAGTTCTAGTGCTCAGTTTCGCGTTCTTCATCTTTTTAGTCAGACGGCTTGACTTACAAAGCAAAACATCGCCTAGGAATTCATTGAGCTTGATTCCATGGGGAAGCGGCAATAAGCCTTGGTCAAATGTAGATACGAGAAAGTCGACAAGAGCGCTCTCTTCTTTTGTCCAACGTCCTGTGCGCTGCTGACCTCTAGACAGACCACTGCATGAAATAGAAGATTTTCCGTTTGATAAAAGAAGATAAGGGCTTTCAGCTTCAATCTCTATATCTTCATCGCGAGCATGTTTTCTACTTTGTTGTTTCGGTTGTGAACTATAACGACTTGCGTTCGTCCCTTGCGATGAGATTTCGTTCTTTTTCAGCGCTATAGCACGTTCCACGTCGTTGAAACAAAGTGGTTCGATGAAAATTCCATTCACAGTACCAGAACATATGAAGCATCGAGAGTGTGTCGCATCGTTGGCAGTAGGAAGGATTGACACGCCATGCTGTTTTGTGCCGTCATTCGTGTCCATAATCAGGCTCAAGGGAAGACATCGCTATGATTTTTTGAAAAATACGTTAGACGAGAGGGATAACAACCAAAGCAGGTACAAAAATTCCAGGTTAGAAAAAATCGAAGGAGAACAAATAATTCTGAAATACTTAATGCGCGACCACTAAAAATAAAAAGTTGAACCATGTTATTTATCAAGTGGTTGCGTAAGCCCACAGCTTGTTCGTAAAGAGAAGGTGATTCACACCATACGTTTCCAACCAAGTCCACCGACATTCCGCTGCGATACACGACAGACGACGAATGCTTTCATGGTGGTTACGACGTTGCCGAATGCTATCACGTGGCCGAAAGACGAACATTACTCACCGCATGAACTGAACAGCCACAACCAAGGAGACGAAGGTCTGAGCCTGGATGGCCACACAATTTGCACATTCGATGACCAGAATTCATTTTCTCACTCAGCAGACGGTGTTCTAGTAGATTTTGTTGTATCCTCGTTTTTTCTACTTCTAATGAACCCGCATCATGTTATCTCCCCGAACTGATTTGATTGGTGGCTTCTTCATCCAGTGCTTGCCAATAGTCAGAAATGATACTTCGACGATGATGGCAAGAACAACCCTCTAAAATGACAGAACACGAAGCCCTCCGAAGGTGGCCATGGAACGACAGAATGTATTTCCCTGTGTTACCATTTTGGATATTGCCATTCCGTTGAATTGAGATGAAAAATTGAAAGTTGATCACAGAACTCTTAGAGAATGAGAAGAGTTTTTTATTTTTAAGATTGGATACTTGTAGTAAGATCGGAAGTTTGTTCACCGAAGAAAAATATTGGCTGTTCTTATTTTCAGAGCAGGTGTTCTCCTAGACCAAAGTAATTCTTGTGCAACTCCTTAGTTTCGATGTGAGTTTATACAAAACTTTTAACATATCCATAATCATTATTTTCATGCAGTTTTGGTTTCGGGGTGCTAAAATTTCGGAATAGAATAATAGCTTTCATTTCTGACCAATGAATGAGGGCGAACAATATGCGAAGGTGTGCGTCATATAAGAAATTCCGTGGATCATTGCGAACAGCAAGTGTTGGCAATAAATGCAAAGGGTTATAAAGGTATTCTTCTAGGGTAGGGGAAGAAGTATGACATTATCTATAAAAGTTAGGGAAGCAGGTTGGCTACGGACATTTTTCGTCGCAAGGGACAGCCCCGCGGTTATACTCTCCAGAGTGTATCAGGTACAATACAGTATCATCATCTACAAACCTTCCGCCAGGTACGTACGGTACGTACGTACCTTACGTCAGGTGTGATCCCTGTCTTACGTAGGATACAGCAGTGGTTTTTCTTCATGGGAAAGGACGGACGACGCTGAAGAACTCCTGAGCCTACCGTACCGTTCTTACGAAAAGAGATTCTCAAGAGTCAAGAGCAGAGGGGGCGGACTTCCACTATCTGGGTATTTTATTTACCGAAACTAGGAGACGATTGAAAGAATCTGCGAGATATGTGACTGGGGAATCGTGGATTGTTGACATGAAGTGATAAATAATTTTTCCGCAAGAATGAGTACGTACCGTAAGTACAATACGAGTACAAACGAGTACGATACCGGCCGGTAGTAGGAACACGAGTACCTTACCCTGGCGACGTGAGCTAACTGATCATGTCGAAGTCAACATGCAACGAAGAAAAATTTTCCTGACAAATGCGAAATGTCAGCTCATTCACTATGGCAGACCAATCTATGGCCACTATATTTTCTGTTGCAGCAGCGACATCTTCTTCTTCCCTCGAATGTACAACCGGATTGTCACTTCTTGAATCTATGGTGTCGTATCTTCGAAAGGAGGCTGTCCTTGCTGATGAAAAGGCCAAACGGTTGAGAAAACAAGCAGCCGAGATAGCAAAAGAGTTTGGAATCACGGATGAGTCGCAGAAATTATACGGTGAGCATACATTGTAGTTTTTTCGGAAAATGAGATCGACCCTGAAGCTCAACAGAAATTCGTTCACGAAGGCGTTGAAGTAACGACTGATATCGATTTTTTTTAACCGATCAAATGCAACACTTATTTACGATGACGAATAATGATGGAATATAATGTCAGAAATGGATCCAGCCGAACTGCCCCCCTTGGATGAAAAAGGAATGCCAAAGTACAAGGGAAAAAAACGTGGCCCCAAGCCGAAAGCTAGAAAGCGTAAGGTGAAAGCGGGCCGGCAAAAGCGAAAGCATACGGGGTACACACTTTTCATGCAAGAAACCTATCCAAAAGCCAAAATAGAGAACCCAGACCTTCCCCCAAAGGCACTGATCAGCATAATGGCGAAGCTATGGAGGAACCTGGCTGCAGGGGGCAAAAGAGAATGGAAAGAACGGGCAGAGACTGTGAATAGTGACGACACCAAAGATGACAGCGACTGGCTTTGTTCGGTTCAAACCTTTTAGTGAAGAGTGCATATAGCGCGATATTGCAGTAAAAAGAAAAAGAAACTTGAAATAATTGTTGATTTCATGAACAAGCTCATTAAATGTAATACTCTCTTACGTTCAACCGAATCCATAATTAAGACCGACCATGTTCCCGTTTTGGCCGATCGATACAATCCTCGAACACTGAACACCGTATGATCAGGAAAGACCCTATCACGTGCATATTTTCCGCTTTCGCAAACGCGTCGAAGTCCGTCGTATATTAGAATTCCTTTGAAGCTCTGCCACCTCATGAGCCAACAGAGGTAGAGTCTCTTCGGCTGGTCCTCGAATATTGTATGCATCCAAAATGCTAGTTGGTGCCAACATATCGTGGGTATTGATGTTGTAGCTGTAATGACAAAAGAGATGTCAGAAGATGAGAGCGTACACAATAAAAATCAAACGACTATTTAATAACGACAGCAACAAACAGGCAATAAAGGTCATTCATTGCAACACAGTTATGTTGATCACAGTCGTTCTTTCATATTTTGTCCTTACACTGGGATATTCTTAGCTCGGGCGTGTTCCAATGTCACTTCTGGAAGTCTTACTGCGAATGAAGTGCCCACAAAGACAATGACTTCTGCCTCTGCCAACCATTCTTCCATTTTTTGAAACTCGTAGAAGTCGTGCGAATGATATCCTTCATCAAATAAGAGTGCTTGGGGTGCCAGCGTATTTTTGCAATGCGGACATTTGGGTGTTTCGAAGAGACGGCCCTTTCCCAGACGCAAAGTTTCCTGTACTCGAGATGGTTCGATTTGAGCAATTGTCACTGATTCTAGATTCTGATAGGGACACTGTCGACATTTTTGACTCCTATTGATACTTTTCGAGCCAGAATGACGTTGTCGACGAGAATTGCTACTACACTCACGTTGAGGGTCCCGCCTCCGTTTCCACTTTCGGCGATGGCCCAGATGAACGGAGCGACCGTCGTCATCATCGCTCTCGCTATCTGTGTCGGAATCTACGTCCGGAATGCACTTGTAAAGGCCTAGCCTTCCGTGGGCTTCAATCGTGTGGATGGGATTTGGAGGCAACATACCGTCTACGTTTTGCGTGATCATTTTTATGTTCAAAGATTCGGACCCGCCCGTCGAGGATTGGTCCAATAGCCACTGAACAGCCCGGTGTGCCGCATTGGGTTGGACGGACGGGGGCAGCGATGAAAAGGGTAACCAAAAACGATTGTACCATTCCAATGGATCCTTCCGAAATGTCTCGCGTGTGGCAGTGGTCCAGATGTGTTGCGTCCACAACGCCTCATTGTGGTGATTGCTTTTTCCGCGAAAGGGGCGGATTCCACTGGCAACGCTCATACCAGCACCAGTGATCAGGACTACTCGTTTTCTGTTGGTAACAATTTCCTCTGCTAGTTTGGCAAGGCACGAATGTCCTCGCGAGGAACGTCGCCGCTTTTGTTTCTTTTGTTTACTAGACGATGCTGCCGATGACAACCGATGTGCATCTGTAGCCTCCGAACCAGAGTGGTAACCGGTGCAATCCCTTTCGTTACTTTTTCGAGAGCTGTCAGACGAAGAAGAGGTGTCGATCCGGTCTTGCTGGCGAAGCCCATTGACTAAACGGCGACTCGATCTCCGGCGAGCAATCGGTGGCATTGTCGATGAACCGGTAGAAATCCTTTGCAAGGGATACACTGGTTTTTAACGGCTTCAGGCAACAGCATCTATTGTCATCGACTCCAATGCTTTTGCGCTTCGTGGCCACGATGCAAGCAAAAATCCTCTTTGAAATTGTGACATACATACGGTGCGGTTAAACTGGAGTACCGTATGCCGTAACGGTAGTGTGTACCGGGAGCGGAGCTGAGCGTACAGTACTCGTAAAACGTTGGTACTACAAATTTAAATTTACAAAACTTTTTCCCGTCGCGTGTTGCCAAATGTTGCCACCTGGATTTTTTTTTTTTTTTTTTTTTTGTTTGATACTACTACTCAACTACTACTCCACTTATCACACCCCTCTCATCACTACAAACAATATTATAAGAATATATTTTAACATATATAAATATATTCTTTATATATTACATCACTATACTTGATGGTTGAAGTTACTCCAATGCTCTTGACATACAGTACTGTCAATTCCTCCTCCTGTCTCAACCGGTTCTGCTCCTTCACTGACCAGATACTCTCGATTGTCAAAATTGATTGCTTCATATCCTTGTACTTTGAAAAGTCATCACAGGCTATTACTTTAGCCTGGGCTCTACAATCTTCCAAAGAATTATGTGCATTTGTAAGCTCTTCACCTGTGACATGTTTATAGACAGTAGATAGACGTAGATCTGGAAGCTTAGACTTGGACGGATTCAAGGGACACCCAGCATACTTTTTGATAATCAGATATGGGTCCATGAAGTATTCAATTTCCAGAGGCATTTCACAGAAAGCATTTGAATGAATGGTTTTGTAGATCCATTCCAAGTCACAACTCTTGCCATTCCATGCCACCATGACACCAATACAAGCTTTGTTCATAGCACTTGACTGTTGGTTGAAAATTTCTTTCACTTTGGCACAGAAGTTTACCCAAACATCTTTAATACCAGGGGCATTACGGATCTTCTCATGATCACGGGAGTTTATACCATGACATTCACAGGCTTGAGGAAGAAATACTGCCCTTGGTGGTGGCTTGCAATATGAATCAAAATATCCCAGCTCATTGTGGTTGCAATCAAAAAAAACTGCAGACAACTGAAGGATCCCACACTTTGGGCCACCAGTCTCAACATCAAATGAAACCCAAATGACTCTTCCTTGTTGGAGATAATCATGAATGATACTTCCAGCAGTACTAGTAGTAGTCCTAGACATAGTTGATCTACTCCTCTTAGGTGGACTTGGAGTAGTGGTGGAGTCTTGTAGTTGCTCAAAGAATTGCACAAGATTCCTGACACCAGGAGATTGATGTTGTTGTGTTATGTTGTTGTTGCTGTCTTCTTCATCATCATTGTTGCATGCTCCTTCATCACCATCTAAAGACATTTGTGTACCAGCAGGAGGAATTTTAGTGGGACTCATGAGAATTGAGGAGTCCTGGAGAAGATGTTCCAATTCATCCTGTTCCAGATCAGATGAATCAGAGAGGTCAAGGTCAAGAAGTTCTTGAATTTCGTCAAAGGGAGCACCATCATAGTAAGGGGCATCAGGAAGACTTCCAAGAGAACCATTAGTATCACCACTGGAAACACTGTTGTCATCACAACTACCATTGTCAGGAGATAGACAATCGTCATCCTCACCGTCAGAAAAAGAATCACCATGATCATCACCAGCATCCATCATGGTGGTGGTATGATTATTTTATGTTGGTAAATATGATGGTGTTTTGTGTGATAGTAGTAGTAGTTTATGTTCCAGTTTGAGGTGTTTTATATTTACCTGTTTGGATATTATGAGAAGAGAAATGAATGGGCAGAAAAGATGTTTTATAATTGTTTTAACCTTTTTTTGGTATTTCAGTCTTATTTTGTGTAGGATTAGTACTGCAGTCTACACAGGTGAACAGAGCTCACTCTTGGAAAATCAAAGAAACTCTGAGAAAAAAAAAACCAAAAATGCACGATTTGGGCGGAGACGGGAAAAAGTGAACGAAGGCAACGCAAGCAACTGAGGGCGTGACAGGTCTGGAGACGGTCAAATTGTACACGGCTGGGTGAACAACAGCCTTCATTTGCCTTATCAATTTACAACCTGTCTCGTTTTTCAAAAAAAACTATTTCAGTGGACGAGTTTCTAATTCGGAGCATTTCGAAGCTCATTTCCGAGCTCTTTTTGGTCATTTTTTTGCTCACTTCTTGATGAGATCTGCTGCTGAATTGAATTGTTGTACAAACACTAGTACCATACGTAAATCCATTCCAAAGAACATATTTCTCTTCAATAAAACACTTCCTATTGGGCCCTACTAGTTTAAGACACTTACTACTAACTAATAACTACTGGACACTAGTAAACTTCAGCAACTTGTTCTTCTTCTTCATCAACTGCTCCAAGAACTACTGCTGCCTCCTCTTCTTGGTGGCATCCTCTAAGACGCCCAAACAAGAAGGAATATTGGGAAAATCTCTTTCCTCTTCAGGTATAGTACTGACAATAAAGGAAAGAGATGCTTGCTGCCTTCTAGCTCTCTCCCTTCCATAGTACTCTGTATCCCTCCTGATTGTAATTTAATCTTCTTGTTTGTGGTTGTTGGTGGGTCTCATCTTCATCACTCCAAGCAAATTCTTGAGCAAAAGAAATATCCTTCACTTGCAACCACCAAAGATCAATCAATTGTTGCTACTACTTTGCAGAGATCTTCTTTTCCTGCTTCCACTTGCACGACAATACCTTGAGTGCAGAAACTGGAAGGGACTTGACATCATCATCCTCCTTCTTACTAATCTTCAATCGAGCTGGTGACCTTGGTATTGAACTTAAATTCTCCTTTGGCTTTCTTCTTAAAGTGACTTCAGGCCATTGATGTGCTCTTGTCTTTCCTTCTTCTTCCTTGCTTCAGTAATAAAGAAGTAATCCTTGGTGTTCATTGTATCTCCTCCTGTAATAATAAACTGTTGACTGGCGGAATATTTTGCTGTACCAAAAGCATCTTGACAAGCTCTGGAATTTGGTATGGTGACTGTCTCAAACAGTTGTTTCTTTTATTGTGATACTTTTGGAAGACACTACCATTGAAACCAACATTGTTTAACACCTTCTCTTTGTTCTCAATTAACAAAATAGTATTAGGATCAGCAGCTATTGAATCAATAGCACCACCTTCCAGTATTATCAGCTCATGGGCTACTTTGCTATCTGATAAAAATTTCCTTTTAAACAATGCAATCCTAATTTTTTCCCACACTGCTTTGGACTAAGCAACCAAGAATGCTTTATTGTAGGCTGGCTCTAACACAACTTGCTCATCAGATGTAGTACCATTCCCAAAAACAAGCAAGGGGAAATTGTTTTGCCTCACATTATATTTGCAAGCCCTACAGAAATGAACAAGGGTTTTAAAGTTCAGACAATGCATTGACTTGAATAGCCTGTAGTTTTGGTCCATGGGCTGGGTCAAATGTATTAGTATATTTTGGACTCCAGCATGCAAACAGTAGAATCCTTGGGCATTTAGTTTTTGTCCAGGTCCATGATTCAGCACAATAATGAGAACTTGTTTGCAAGGCAGATCTGCTGCATCTGGATACAGTTTTACAACAATATCCATCATGAAACAATGAAATTCCTTTGCATTCATCCCAGCTGTAGCATCATTGCAGTTCACTGTGTTTCCATTCTTCTCCATTAACTTATTATTACCAAAGACGTCTTCTACAAAGGCATCTTGGATCTTTTTGTCATCTTCTTCTGCCTTGGAATGAAGTTGAAAATAAGGAGGGAGTGGAGAACCTGTAGCAGTGCTTCCCACAATAAAAATCACTTGCACACTGCTCTTCTGCTGGTGTTGCTGTTGCTGGTGGTGGTGTTGCTGGTGGTGTTGCTGGTGGTGTTGCTGGTGGTGTTGCTGGTGGTGGTGTTGCTGCTGGTGTTGCTGCTGGTGCTGCTGCTGGTGCTGCTGTTGCTGTTGCTCTTCTTCTTCTTCTTCTTCTTCTTCTTCTTCTTCTTCTTCTTCTTCTTCTTCTTCTTCTTTGTTGAAGCTGCTCCTTGTTCTTTTCTTTGTTCTTCCCGTTGGTGGCGCTAGTAGTAGTAGAACAACCAGCACCAATCAACCCCATCCACTCAATGATTCATGATGCAGTTTCCTCCTGTAGCCTTGCTTAAATTTTAGTCAATCTAGATTAATGGGAAGATACTCCCTGGACCCCATTCTAAATGATCAAAATTTAGACTTGTGTTTTTTGTCCTTTTTTGGCTTATCAGTACACTAGTACTAGTACTAGTAGTTACTAAATCATTTTTAATTACTACTACTACTAGTACTCCTAAGGTTCCATATATGGGGAATTGTATTAGTATGAGTGGTGAACTTTTTGCCCCAGACTCCAGCAGTATCATATGGAGTTGGTGGCATTTAAAAAAAGATGATTCAATTGTACATTTGTAATGCTGTATATACTGCTATGTACACATATAACAATAAATGCCACTAGTAGCTAGGCCCTGCAAACTCCCCCATACAACTAGAATTGTTCTGATTAAAATTGCTTTTGATTCATGTGCTTATCATTCTTACTAAGTGCTGTCCATTGGGGACCAAGATACAGCTCAAACTGTCAGTTCAAGATTAAAACAGTTGTACATTTAAATGACACTGAGTGTGGATTTTTGGTCATATTTTTACTGTGTAATGACTCCTCGTTGTGGGATCAAAAATTTGGACCTGTACTACAGGTACAGCAATAGCATGTGTTGAAGCAAAAATCAGCCAGTCAGGAGCACTTGTCCAAGAAACTTTTTGGTAGCACAACTTTTGGGATTGAAACTTCAACACCACTGGTGAGCATGAGCATCTTGTGTGTATTTAGTTTATATAGTCAATGTACTAGTCATTAGACACAAAATAAGGGCCCCTATTCTACAACTGGCTGTATTTTAGATTTGGGCGCCAGCTCTACACAATGATGTTGCTTGGGAATGGGGGGATTTTTGAAGTGGTCTGGCAGTTCTTCACCATGGGAGATCTTTGGTACAAAAATATGAACCAAGAATGATGCAAACCTTAACAAAGCTTTCAGTTTCCCAAAATGGAGATTTGGTGCAACTAACCTCAACAAGATGACTGTTCCCTTTATTAACAATATCAACAAATGCCTGAGCAGGAAAGAGGGGGGTATGGGAAATACTAATATTGTAGTAAAGAATCACATGTAGTACTTTCACCTATCACAATATATGAGGTTATTTCTCTCCTTCTGAATGGTGGGACTCCTCCTGGAGCAAATGTAACCACAAGACAGAAGTAAAAGGCCCAACATAGAGAACCTCATAAATCTCCCTTTCACTTATCAAAAAACTGCAAAATTGTGGATTGAGTAACACATGATAGATAGACTCCACCACAAGGCAGTTTGATATGTATGAATAGTACTGGCAAACCTTCTGGAATCCTATATCAAAAGGTGGCTCTCTTTTTATTACCATTTGCAAAAGTGATGTAACTGCTTTACTGTAATGAGGTGGGATGCAAAGTATGTCTGCCTAGAGACGCAATTGATTTTTGCAGCAATCACATTCTCTGAGATGTACACTCCTCTGCTGAGGACCTATATGCAAATGGACTCAGGAAGATACAAAAAGCTTCTATTTTGTGCACACCCTTCATTCAAACCCAAAAGTGGACAATAATGTAATGTTTGTTTGACTGGGTATATTTTTTACTGCATCTCCTGAGCAAAAGGGATGTTTATCCAGTGGACGCAGGCCATTGTCCTTTTCTAAAGCAGTACCCCTACCAGCAGCCAGATACTGTGTTTCCTTGACATCAAACAATAGATCACTAATACATCTGTTAGTGGATTTGACTTGCACCATGATGGTCACCCTATGGCTTTGTAAGGAAGTGCACTCTTCCTCAAGAAGATCACTTGTACCTATTTGCTTGTTCAAGGGTTCATTTGGAGATTACCATTGTCTCTAACAGAGGAACAAGAACAGATCAATTCTTTGTCATCCGGAGCAAGGGAGAACGGCTACCCAATTTCAATACAATTATGTTGGGAATGTACTACTACATGATTGGCAGCACCAATGACTTCTCCATACTACCAGCACCATCAGCACTACTAGCACTTCTAGTAGTAGTTCTATTAGTAGTAGTACTAGTATTCCTAGTACTAGTAGTAGCCCAGTACTAGTACTAATAGTATTACTATGATATTTGTTTGGTTGAGTTCCCTACAGCACCAGGCATTACTTTTCTTCACGGGTGTGCTAGTAGGCAGTTCGTTTAGTTAGAGAATTGATTGAAAAGTAGTTTATTTACAATATTTACAATTTGCAATATGATGGCTTTACTAGTACTACAAGTTGTGGTTCAATGATTTCGGGGTTGAGCTTGAAGAACCGGACGCGTCAATACGATGTAGAAATATCCCAATCAATTTATCGTCTCTGAATCCGAGAGACTGCTCTCCTTGTTGAAAGTAATTGCGGATGGCTTTCAGATAAACCTTCAGACTTGAGAATCCGTAGGGATTCTTGGTAATTTTGCAAAGCAATATTAGGGAGATTTAGTCGTTCGAAGCAGTATCCTAAGTCATTCAACGTTGTAGCTGTTTCTTTTGCAAGTCGTCTTTCTCGAAATATCGTTAATGCGTATTCATGGCATTTTCTCGCAGCTTCGGCATCGCGTTGCATGTGAACACGGATAAGTCCGAGAGCATTCCAGGCATCGGCACATTTTTGATGAGCAGATCCAAATCGTACTTGGGCATCTCGTAAGTCAAGAAGCACTTGTTTCAGGACAGGATTGCTGCTGTTTTCATCGTTCAAGCCTATCAGAGGCTGCTCTTCTAGAACCGTTTTCTGATGCAGTGATGTTTTCTGGAACTCCATCGGTTGCATGGAAGACTCGAAAACTCTGTTTTGATCATGGGTCGTAGCGATCATCATTGTTTTACGTTATTTGATATGCGTTACACTTTCGTGAAGGAATTGTCGAATACGTTATGAATGCAATACTGTATCGTCAAAAATTATGTGCGGGGAATTGGTTTTTTTTTCTCGTCGTATTGAGAGTAATTCTAGGCGATCAGGTAGGTCAGAAATAATGATTGGAAAGCGGTGAAGAAGTTGAAAAATTTTGTTTCTCGTCGAGCTTCAAGTTCAACTCTGCATAGAAAACTACATTTTCTAATCGTATTTGATAGTGAATTGTTAGCCATAAGGAGTACAGTATGCTCGAACAAGACATGATTGTTTCAAACTGGTACTAGTACTTTTTGTGTGTCAAAAGTGAATAACTTCAACGTTATACTCAATCTTTATTTAACTCCGTTTTGTAAATTCAAATGATTTTACTTATTGATCAGATTTTCAATATAATAGCCTCCAGATTACTCGGACCGGGCCAGAAGAATGATATCTAGTTTATCACAGTACTCGTACGTCGACAAGCCAACTAATCCCGCTTCTAATACATTCACTTAAGGGTCTCGAATCTCGTCGTTGTACTACAATCAACGTCACCCAATCGTAGGAACGACGAAGACGATTTGCCATGCTCGTTGATAAGGGCCAAACAGGTTTTTCATCAAGGAGTGCGAACGAAGAAAGCGGCGGACAGAGAAACGTTTTTTGATGGTACGAGTACGAACGAGTACCATACATACGAAGTACAATGAATGAATGATCCCGCGACTACATTACAGGTACCAAGTGAACGAGACGTATCCGTACGTGTACTACCAAGGCTGTTCATGGCCGGATTTTATTCCATATTTGGCGTTTTGTTAGAGTTAGGGTTAACAATATAATTTGGTAGGAATCAAGCAATCTGATTGGCTAATATAGACACTGGAAGTAGAAGTACATTATTTTGCGTCATTGTACGAGGTACAGAACCATACGATCACGTCTCGTCACAGCTTTGTCATAATCATCATATTGTGGTGGATCTAAAAGAACTGACGACGTTATAGAGCTTACGAACGATGATGAGAAGGGCGCATAGTATTCTGGAAAAGTCGCAGTGGACGCAAGCACTGAAAACTTTCCGGACCAAACGGGATCCACGCAACCTTCTTCGACCTCGTTCCAGGCTCTTCGGTACCAAGGCTGGTACTCATGATGATAGTATCAGCACGGGCATCGAGCAACATGTACGACCTGACATTGCCTTTATTTTAGAACACTACCGCATCCATCGACGTGAGAAAGAAGGAACGAACGGAACATCTCGCGAATACTTGTTGCTACCGCCGGATGTGTACGTACCCCAAGTGATCCAAGATCCAAGCCTGCCAGCTGCGGCTCTATTTGCCCACAGCAATATTTTGTTTGGCGCAAGATCGTTTCACGGTTATGATATGGCGGACGTTTGCTTGCCGCTGGTACGAGCCGCCCTCGAGGAATCAGAAATGGTAGAGCATGGGCAGCAACCTCAGGCAGTGGCCAGCCTGACTGGGCTCTCCGAGTGGGTGGCAACGTGTTTGGATAATGATAGATACGGAGAGAGCCAGACGCTGATGCGACTGGCTGGACACGATGTAGCTAGTGAAAACGAGAAGAAGGGAAACTCGGTCTCTCTAGAGGCGGTTCGTGCCATTGCAACTGGTGTACCACGTCCGGGTCACTCAGTTGTTGGTCAGGGTACATTTCGGGATGGGCAAGAAGCGTGGAAAGAACTCGCCAAGGAATTCGCTGGCCTGGGGTTGTCAGAGGAAGTTAATTTATACGAAAAACAAGGAGGAAACCTCGTCGGCATTGAGCACCTGGCGGACAGGAGTCCAGATAACATGAAAAATGCGGGAGGGGCAATGGCGAGACTATTTTTCTTGTAATGGAAGAATTGATGCATTTACCAATAGGTTTGGACGAACGCAACAGGGTTTGAAATAAACTAAACCTTCGAAGTTGATTTCATTATTTCGTTTGGGTCAAATCACATGAAATTTGGTCTTAAGGAAAGTGCTTTAGCTGCCCAAGTTCTCAGGAGGACATTCTGTGCCTACTCTCCATAGATATTGACATTGAGATTCTTGGTCTCACGTCGCATTCTGGTTGGTGGTAGCTTAAAGGTGATACACTAACCAGAAGCAGGAGTGGAGAGGTTGGAACTCCCATGTCTGCCGGTTTCGTTGATCAATTCAAATTGGATCATTGCATATTTCGTTAGTGTTAAAGATATTTCTTCGCTTGTTTTCTTGATCGATGACAGAAGCGATTGCTTCACTACTATTGGCCAAGAAGAAGTCTACTAGTACTCTAGAAGTAGATCATGGTAAGTAGTTGCATGAGTACTAGCAGTAAGAAGCGCATAAATTGGTAGGGGAGAGGCATCCATGAGTAAAACAAGGAGAGTATCAATCATTATCACAAAACCACCTCAATATTTTTTGTTGTCATTTTCCGTAAAATGCTAGCAGTTTTGGATGAAAGGGAAAACTATACTTCCGAGCATGGATTGTATTTTCATGTATTAATAACCATCCTTTGGTTTTACTGCTGCGCAAATTGTTACGAAAGTGAAGAAGTGATTTGTGTTCAAGGCTTCGGCATTTATATGCAAACGCTATTGTATTTTTCCAAGAACTTCTGGAATTGGAACATAACATTATAGTTGGATCATTCGTATTTTTCTTAAATTCTAAATATTAGGCAGCGGTAGACACCAGGGTCATTTATCCAGTGAATAATACTGCCATTGCATTCCTAACCGTGATACAACCCTGCAGTTCATCCAGACAGCACGGCATTTGTCAAACCAAGTCCGACATCGTTCATAACTTTGTGGAACGTTTTGTTTCTCGTCGTGATCAATGCTATCATGGTATAAATTTTCTTGAAGGCATTAGATCTTGATTCCCTGGAACCTGTTTTCTTCTCGGGCTTCGTCCCAATTCTCGATCCAAGCATCGGGACAGATGCTGGTGGAGTATTGTCTGTAAACCTGGCACTTGTCGTCGGCATCGTCCCCACTCTGCTTCAAGCAAACCAACCATTCATTGTAGCGATTCCAACAGTGGAGGGCCTGGTTCTGAGCGGGGAATCGTGCATCACGGGGGGTGGTGCGAACATTCTTGACCTGGTGCAAGAGATCTTCCTGCTTCTCGTCGAGTTCAGGGATTTTGTCGCTGAAAATCTGGGGGATTGGACGAATTTTGGAAAAGCAATCGTCACAACGAAAGCACGGCACGAATTAGAGAATTATTAGAAGCGAATCAAACACTCTTTTCACAAGATTCTTTCTTTGGAAATGTCTTCGTCTGCATGCAGGAGAAAACTCGATTGGAGAACGATAAATTACGTATGCTTCCAATGCTCCTCGCCGTAACAGAAACATCATATATCGTGACCTCGTTGTGCGACGTAGGATATTTGATTTACACTTTGTCGCGAACTTACTTTGTTAATCTTGGGGATCATGATGTTGTAATTTCAATCCTTCTATTTTCTAGTCAGTATCCAGCGCGCAGAAAATGTCGGAGAAAGGACAACAGACAGTGAGGGATGAACCTATTCAAACTGCTTTATGCTTCGCCCGAAATCATTTCCCGGACAACGCTACCGTACCGATAGAATCAAGTTTCGTATTTCGCTTCTCAGAAGAAGATGACAATGACTACAATCGCTGGACTTACGTTTACAAGAGACTACGAGTACGAGCAGTACCTTGCGCTTGGGTTGACACAGGTTGCGGAAGAAGATAAGGAGGCTTCAGTTCTTGCGGACAGTTGATGTTGTCGCCGTGAGATTGGCGAAGAAACCGTACCGTACGGTAAGGTACGGTACGTTAGCTTCGCAGCAACAGCAATAAGAAGGCTTCTCCAACGCGCGTTCCTGAGAGAAAACCGATGGTCTGCTCGTTGAGGCACTGCCGGGTACGGTATCCTAAGCTCTTGATACTGTCCTATCTATCCTGTCTACTATCCATATGTCGTAGTACTACGATCTTATGTTCCGAGTTACAGTACTGTACTTCGTAGTAGTACTACCATGTATGGTACGTACGTATACTATGCAGAGGACGTACGTACTTATGTCACTAGTAACTAGTACGGGATACGGGAGACGGGAGTGCCGAGTGCCGAACATCTTGTTTGAATTTCAAACAGAACAAAAATATGATATGTATCGTATGTATCGTATGAACTACTTGCTTGTATGACTACGTTTTGGGTTTCCACTTTCCACGTGTCTTCGGAACTGTGACACACAACGAAATTCACAACAGAAGACTATGACATTCGATTCCAAGGATGCCCCCAGCTCTCTTAGGGCGTACGAGCACTCGTATTGCAGCGTACTACCGGTTCGTTGTTGTTTTTTCTTTTCGCGTCAACCATAGATCTCTGAAGGAGACAACAAGCCGAGACAGAACAAAATCGTTCGCCCAAGTCACATCAGACTCGAATATTGATCATACAATTTATTATTCAGCCCGCGACAACAACAAAAATGGTGGTGTCTCGCGAAGGATTTATGTTTTTCTTTGCGGTACTTCTGGGAACGGTTTGGAGTACCACGGGAACGACGGTGTTTGGAACCGATGTGTTGGTCCCGCCGGCGACGTTCGGGACACGAACGTCTCCTTCTAGATCGCGGTTCTCTTTGTCCACCGTTCGTTCGGATAAGAGCTATGGAAAACTTCTCCTGGGCAACCTTTCTTCCCGTGACACGGATACCGCCGTGTTTTGTCTGCGAGGCGGAGAAATCTCGCTCCCAGACGACGAGGAAGAGGGCAGCGGAATCATTGCCACCAAGCTGCGCAACATGATACGAAGCATCCTGGATATTAGTGACAACAAGATCCCAATATTCTCTGGCTTTTTAAGGACGTGTTTCAAGACTCTTGAAACCCTGACCGGGATGAGCATTCTGCCCGAACAGAAATCGAAAAAGAAAAAGAAAGACAAAGCCAAGAGCAAGCCGGCCAAGAACGAGTCGAAGAAAAAGAAAAAGGCGAGCAGCGAGGACGGAGTCAAGACAAAGAAGCCGTCCAAGAAGAAGGGTGCCGCCTCGAAAAAATCATCGGCCGCCACCCAGAAACACTTGTCGACGTCTATTAAGTCATCGAATCCAAACTACCGCATCCAAAAGGAACTCAAGTCCTTCATCAAGTCCCCACCTCCCAATCTTTCGGTCCAGGTCGGGACCAACATCCGAATCTGGATCGTGACGATGAAAGGGGCAAAGGACACGATCTACGAAGGGGAAGTTTTCAAGCTTCGGGTAGAGTTTCCGAAAGATTACCCGACGGTTCCTCCGTCGGTCTACTTTCTGAAGAAGCACATGCCCGTTCACGAGCACGTATACACGAATGGGGACATTTGTTTGAGCTTGCTCGGAAACGGGTGGCGACCTACAATGTCGGCGCAATCGATTGCTGTTTCGATCTTGTCCATTTTGTCTTCGGCGCAGTCCAAATCCTTGCCCATGGACAATGCACAACATGCCACTGCTAAACCGGGACAATTCCAAAAAGACTGGGTCTACCACGATGACAGATGCTAGCTAAACGCATGGTGTAATAATAAAAAATACGTTATTGATTTGAATCAGTGTTCTGTTTTCGCTTCCGGAGTAACTTCTAAGGGGGGCACAGTTGCGTTATGGTTTTCTTTTCATTCGATCTGGATACGTCGTGTAGTGCGTATGCCTTCTTTTCGTTCCAATTGGGTTCAATATGGTGCTGCGATTGTTGTGGATCTATTTCCTGCTGTTTTCATTATGGTAGCATGAGAAGGACAGATATACACACAATTTTATCGTTATTGATGATTAATGCGCCAATCGTACTAATCGTCTAATGTTGTTTTTGTTTTCCGTAACGGATATTGAGGCGTTGCCCGTACACATATCCGTTTGCCGGCCATGGTATTCCTCTTCCTTCGTGTTCTCACCTAGTACCTCTTAGTTCTTGGTGGTTCGGCGTGGCTTGACTATGATTTGCCCTTCCTCAATGGAAACACTCCCAATGCCCTTGATGACTTCCGCGATGTATTCCACGCCGTCGTCATCGAAATGCGTGTTGTACAAACCTTCCAATAAGTTTTCGTGATCGTCGACGGTGAGTTCCTGTCCGAAAAATGTTCCTTTGTCCAAGAACAATTCGAGCACGCCCTGGCCACCGTCCTCGTTCTTTGTGACCAAGTATTGCAGCTGGGCAAAGAACAGAGGGCCGTCAAACCAATCACTGGGGTTGGCAGCGATTTCCGTTTTCATCTCGATAGTGTTCTCCTTCTTGTCTGTAGTTGCACCGTCTAGCGCAAGGTATTCGTTGCCCTCGAAATAACGACCACCGAAGCCAAACACATCCATGGGAAGGCTGTATTCTTCGTAGTAGAGATTCTTTTCGAGGGTAATCATCATGTGGCCTTGGAGGTATTCCGAGTTGCTGATGAATCCGTTGATTTCATCCTGGGTCACTACCAAGTCATCGAGATTACTTGTGGCGCCTTCGGCCACTTGGTCGGCGAAGAGAGTGATGCGATCTTTCACAATGCGAAGTTCCAGCGGAGACATATCAACGATCGGGAACTTCTTGGGGGAATCTGTTTCGATGGTAAGGTGTTGCACGACATCTCTCAACCCAGCATAAGCGAATCCCAGAACCACGAGAGCAAACAGAACAAAGATTCCAATGGTGATTACAAGACACGTACACCAACAAGGGAGGCGACAGCGCGATGCTGACTTCTTGGCGTTGCCGTTGGCCGAGGTGGGTGAGGGATTCGTTGAAATAACACGACCCTTTACAACACGAGGTGTTTTCTTGTTCTGGATTTCAACATCCTCGTATTCGTTGTCATCGAGCAACTTCTTTGACAATTCTGGATCGTTACTCATGATTGCGATAATTTATCCTCTATTGTATTTTGATCTGAGATTTGATCTTTTGCCGTAAGGCTTTTCTGCTTTTTATGAAAAGTCAAGTGTTTCAAGTGTTCTTCAAATTAGGAGGATGTCCTCGTGATCCTGTAAATCTGTGGAGCTGTTGTTCCAGTGGTTACGGTTGTGAGCCAGTAGTACACAAATCACGGTACTTGTACCTGGTAAGCATACCGTGGGAACCTGGAGAAACACGAATCAAATCAAAAGAACAAACGGTAGGTACGAGGGCTCGTATCTCCAGTTCTCTGTTGCTGTCAAAAAATCGAAGTTCTCGTACTGGTACGGAGGTAGATTAGAGCATACAGAATCCCGCCCGCGTACGATACTCCTACTTTACTACCATACGCGATGGGATTAAATATTACTTCATTACTGCCGTATGAGATGATGCCATCCAAAACGGTGGGAGTTTTTGGATTAATGGGAATCAAAATTTCAAGGGACAGACTGGGCCCTCCGTTACTTTTTAAGGCAGTCACCAACCAAGATAAGGGATTCCCATAGGTTTTTCCATGTTATAACAAAGAGAAACAATGCAACGGACGTACGTACCAATAGATACGAAGCTCCGAAGAAAGGAATGAAGGATCATACCATTCCTACGTACCTATCGTAAGGTACGCTTCCTATGTATGTATCATAAGAAGTCCGAGGATCGTAAGAGGTCYGAGGATCGTAAGAGGTCTAAGATACTATTCAAGAATACCTCACGAAGAATAGAGATGTCACGAGTCCGGAATAGAGAAGCTTCATGTAGAATCCCTACCAGGTCTACATGAGCTTCT